ATCAAATGAGTTTGGAAGTTTTCCTTCCATTTCTATTTTTTGGAACAGTTTCAGGAGAATAGGAATTAGTTCTTATTTAAATGTTTGGTAGAATTCCCCCGGGAAGCCGTCTGGCCCTGGGCTTTTGTTTGTTTGGAGATTTTTGATGACTGTTTCAATCTCCTTAATGGTTATGGGTCTGTTGAGGCTTTCTATTTCTTCCTGGTTCAGTTGTGGTAGTTTATATGTCTCTAGGAATGCATCCATTTCTTCCAGATTGTCAAATTTGTTGGCGTAGAGTTGCTCATAGTATGTTCTTATAATTGTCTGTATTTCTTTGGTGTTAGTTGTGATCTCTCCTCTTTCATTCATGATTTTATTTATTTGGGTCCTTTCTCTTTTCTTTTTGATAAGTCTGGCCAGGGGTTTATCGATCTTATTAATTCTTTCAAAGAACCAGCTCCTAGTTTTGTTGATTTGTTCTGTTGTTTTTTTGGTTTCTATTTCATTGATTTCTGCTCTGATCTTTATGTTTTCTCTTCTCCTGCTGGGTTTAGGGTTTCTTTCTTGTTCTTTCTCTAGCTCTTTTAGGTGTAGGGTTAGGTTGTGTACCTGAGACCTTTCTTGTTTCTTGAGAAAGGCTTGTACCGCTATATATTTTCCTCTCAGGACTGCCTTTGTTGTGTCCCACAGATTTTGAACCGTTGTGTTTTCATTATCATTTGTTTCCATGAATTTTTTCAATTCTTCTTTAATTTCCTGGTTGACCCATTCATTCTTTAGAAGGATGCTGTTTAGTCTCCATGTATTTGGGTTCTTTCCAAATTTCCTCTTGTGATTGAGTTCTAGCTTCAGAGCATTGTGGTCTGAAAATATGCAGGGAATGATTCCAATCTTTTGATAATGGTTGAGACCTGATTTAGGACCGAGAATATGATCTATTCTGGAGAATGTTCCATGTGCACTAGAGAAGAATGTGTATTCTGTTGCTTTGGGATGAAATGTTCTGAATATATCTGTGATGTCCATCTGGTCCAGTGTGTCATTCAAGGCCTTTATTTCCTTGTTGATCTTTTGCTTGGATGATCTGTCCATTTCAGTGAGGGGAGTGTTAAAGTCCCTTACTATTATTGTATTATTGTCGATCTGTTTCTTTGATTTTGTTATTAATTGGTTTATATAGTTGGCTGCTCCCATGTTAGGGGCATAGATATTTAAAATTGTTAGATCTTCTTGTTGGACAGTTCCTTTGAGTATGATATAGTGTCCTTCCTCATCTCTTATTATAGTCTTTGGCTTAAAATCTAATTGATCTGATATAAGGATTGCCACTCCTGCTTTTTTCTGATGTCCATTAGCATGGTAAATTCTTTTCCACCCCCTCACTTTAAATCTGGAGGTGTCTTCAGGTTTAAGATGAGTTTCTTGTAGGCAACATATAGATGGGTTTTGTTTTTTTATCCATTCTGATACCCTGTGTCTTTTGATTGGGGCGTTTAGCCCATTAACATTCAGGGTAAGTATTGAGAGATATGAATTTAGTGCCATTGTATTGCCTGTAAGGTGACTGTTATTGTATATTGTGTCTGTTCCTTTCTGATCTACTACTTTTAGGGTCTCTCTTTGCTTAGAGGACCCCTTTCAAGATTTCCTGTAGGGCTGGTTTGATATTTGCAAATTCTTTCAGTTTTTGTTTGTCCTGGAAGCTTTTAATCTCTCCTTCTATTTTCAATGATAGCCTAGCTGGATACAGTATTCTTGGCTGCATGTTTTTCTCGTTTAGTGCTCTGAATATATCATGCCAGCTCTTTCTGGCCTGCCAGGTCTCTGTGGATAAGTCTGCTGCCAATCTAATATTTTTACCATTGTATGTTACAGACTTCTTTTCCCGGGCTGCTTTCAGGATCTTCTCTTTGTCACTAAGACTTGTAAATTTTACTATTAGGTGACGGGGTGTGGACCTATTCTTATTGATTTTGAGGGGGGTTCTCTGAATCTCCTGGATTTTGATGCTTGTTCCCTTTGCCATATTGGGGAAATTCTCTCCAATAATTCTCTCCAATATACCTTCTGCTCCCCTCTCTGTTTCCTCTTCTTCTGGAATCCCAATTATTCTAATGTTGTTTTGTCTTATGGTGTCACTTATCTCTCGAATTCTCCCCTCATGGTCCAGTAGCTGTTTGTCCCTCTTTTGCTCAGCTTCTTTATTCTCTGTCATTTGGTCTTCTATATCGCTAATTCTTTCTTCTGCCTCATTTATCCTAGCAGTGAGAGCCTCCATTTTTGATTGCACCTCATTAATAGCTTTTTTGATTTCAACTTGGTTAGATTTTAGTTCTTTTATTTCTCCAGAAAGGGCTTTTATATCTCCTGAGAGGGTTTCTCTAATATCTTCCATGCCTTTTTCAAGCCCGGCTAGAACCTTGAGAATCGTCATTCTGAACTCTAGATCTGATATATTACCAATGTCTGTATTGATTAAGTCCCTAGCCTTTGGTACTGCCTCTTGTTCTTTTTTTTTTTTTTTTTTAAATATTTTATTTATTTATTTGACAGAGAGAGAGATCACAAGTAGACGGAGAGGCAGGCAGAGAGAGAGAGAGAGAGAGAGGGAAGCAGGCTCCCTGCTGAGCAGAGAGCCCGACGCGGGACTCGATCCTAGGACCCTGAGATCACGACCTGAGCCGAAGGCAGCGGCCTAACCCACTGAGCCACCCAGGCGCCCCTCTTGTTCTTTTTTTTGTGGTGAATTTTTCCGCCTTGTCATTTTGTCCAGATAAGAGCAGATGAAGGAGCAAGTAAAATACTAAAAGGGTGGCAACAACCCCAGGAAAATATGCTTTAGCCAAATCAGAAGAGATCCCAAATCGTGATGGGGAGAAAGGGGATAAAAAGAGGTTCAGAAAGAAGAAGAAAAAAAAAAAGAAACAATTAAAAAAAGAAAACCAATAAAGAAAAAAATATAAAAAGGAAAAATGTATATATATAAATATTAGATAAACTAGTTAAAAAACGTTAAAAAAGAAAAGGGTAAAAGTTAAAAAAATTTAGCAGAAGAAGAAAAATAAATTGAAAAAAAAAAAAAAATTAAATTAACTGCAAGGCTAAAGAATCATGGGGAGAAAGCCATGAGTTCCGTGCTTTGCTTTCTCCTCCTTTGGAATTACGCTGCTCTCCTTGGTATTGAAACTGTACTCCTTGGTAGGTGAACTTGGTCCTGGCTGGGCTTCTTGTTGATCTTCTGGGGGAGGGGCCTGTTGTCTTGATTCTCAAGTGTCTTTGCCCCAGGCGGAGTTGTACGGCCCTTACCCGGGGCCAGTCTGAGTAATCCGCTCGGGTTTGCTTTCGGGAGCTTTTGTTCCCTGAGCGCTTTCCGTAGAGTTCCGGAGGGCGGGAATGAAGATGGCGGCCTCCCGGTCTCCGGCCGGAGGAGCTGAGAGCCCGGGGCCCCACTCCTCAGTGCGCCCTCAGAGAACAGCGCCCAATTACTCCCGTTACCCTGCCTCTGGCCGCACTCCGAGCTGACCGAGCCTGCAACCGGTTCAGGGTAACCCCGAGCTTAGAGCTTACTCCTCGGCTCTCTCTCTGTAGCCGGCTTCCCCGTTCTAATACCTGTAAGCTCTGCGACACTCAGACACCCCTGATCCTTCTGTGACCCTGCGGGACCTGAGGCCACGCTGACCCTGTGTGGGCTTCACCCCGGTTAAGCCTCTGGAGCGATGTCCCTCAGCGGAACAGACTTTTAAAAGTCCCGATTTTGTGCTCCGTTTTCCGCCGCTTGCCGGGAGCCGGCCCCTCCCCCCGCGGTCTATCTTCCCGTCGCTTTGGATTCACTTCTCCGCCTGTCCTACCTTTCAGAAAGTGGTTGATTTTCTGTTTCTAGAGTTACTGTTCTTCTTCTCTTCGATCTCCCGTTGGATTTGTAGGTGTTTGCAATCTTTAGATAAGCTATCTAGCTGATCTCCCACTACCTGAAGTAGTCTCAGCCTGCTACTTCTCCGCCATCTTGACTCTGCCTGTAACTTTTTATTTTGAGGTGACTTAGAGTCACAAGCAGTTGTACAAAATCATATCTAAAAGGATCCAGTGTTGTCCCCCCAGCCCCCCAAATTCCCCAGGTGGTAGCATCTTGGGTAGTGGTCATACAGTATCCCAAGCAGGAAATTGACACTGATACAAGCCACTGACTCTTTCTCAGATTTCCCCAGTTTTACATGCACTCATTTGTGTATATATTTAGTTCTGTGTACTTTTATCCCCTGTAGACTTATATGACCATGTTGCAGACAAGCTAGAGAACAGTTCCAACATAGGAATCCCTCATGCTATGCTCACCTTTAATAGGTGTAGCTCCCTCTCTCCTTCTACCATTCCCAGGTATTTTATATTGTCTGTATGTCCCCCAGAGTATGGGAGATTTGTCTGTTTTATTGATCATTGTCTTTCTAGCACCTAGAAAAGAGCGCCTGTCACATCATAAGTACCCAATATATATTTGTTAAGCATCCAACATAAGGAAAGGCTCTCTTGTGAGAAAAAAATACGCAGGAGGAAGCCTTGCCTTGTTTGAGGGCACACACAACATACGAAATTTTTTCTTTAATCATCTCTCTCCTCACATCCCGTCTTCTCCCTCGCACCACCCTTGCATCCTCAAATGCCTCTGACTCCAGCAATGAAATTGGTCCTCCTCCATTGTTCAGCTCAGGTTAGTTTTCTGGTGCAAAGCGCAAGGGTCTTGAGTGGAGGCCTGGGCACTCTTCTAGGATTCGTGGCAGCCAAAACTCCTTGCTTACCTTTACCCTCAGGAGTTAGATTTGAATTGAAAACTATGGCCAGCGCCACGTCTATTCTTTATATATTCAAATGAAATTCCAGATGTTATGCCCTAAGTTGGATATTTTGGGGTCGGACTTCTTCTAATGTGTTTGTTAGTCTCTTTGCAAATGCACAGTATTTTTGGTATAGAACACTTGATTCAGATGTCTTCCACCTCTCTTGTTTACATGTTTCCTTTGAAGGAGTCATGGTTGCCGAGTGCGTAGAGGGCAAAAGATCAAGGGACGCTGTTCCACTTGACAATTTGATGGAAGTGAGCACAGACACCACTCCTGAAGTCAGGTCCCTGGTTACTTCACAGTGTACGAGGGACGTTTCATCCTCTGAGACCTTTGTACTTCGTTCTGTGCTAAAGAAACCCTCTGTTAAGCTGTTTCCAGAGGGCCTGCAGGTAAGTTTAGAGCTCCTTTTCCTAAAGCAAATTGAATAAATATGCATTTGGGCTTAAAGCAATTCTTGTGAATTGTTGTATATGTTATACTGGTTTCAAATGTTTTCCCCTCCTTTCCTTACTTAGAGCACTGTGCAGAGTTCATTCCTTTCTTCTTTCCTCTCTTTCTAAACTCAGCATAGAATATAACTTGTAGAATTTGATATATGTAGACTGTATTGTATGAGAGTTTCATAATTATTAATGTGTGTTAGTTATTTCCACCTAAAATATTTGGTCTCAGAGATAGTTTTTTCACAGGCCTGTATGTTTCTCTAAACTCAGCTTGGATGAGCTAAGAGTAGGTTGATGGGAACTAGCTGGCATTTATTGAGTCTTTTTAAATTTTATTTATTTATTTTTTTGAGAGCGTGCATGCACACAAGTTGTGGCAGGGAGGGATAGAGGGAGACAAGGGGAGAGAATCTTAAGCAGACTCCACGCTCAGCACAGAGCCTGATGCAGGATTTCATTTCATGACCCTGAGATCATAACCTGAGTTGGATGCCTAACGGACTGAGCCACCCAGGCGCCCCTTATTGAGTATGTCTACGGACAGTTCTGGCATAGATCACGTACATGCAGTCTTAGTACTCTAAGGAGAATATTAGCCCCATTTGAAGTAAACCTAGGCTTGAGGTTATTAAACGAACCCAGATAAATCTGATATAGAAATCCATGGCAGGCTATAAACTCTGAGAGGTGGAAAGGATGGGCTCTGGAGTCCCAAGTGCCTGGTTTCAGATCCTCACTCTGAAGTTCAAGAGCTGGGCCAATTATGTCACCTTTTTGTACCCTGGCTTGCTTCTAGTTCACAACTAGTGTTGTGAACAGACAACACTAGTAACTACCTTACAAGGTTATTTGAGCATTAACTGCAATAATAATATGAAATTAGCACCAGTACCTGGCAAATGAGAAGTCATTTTGTTTTCAATCCACAGGCATTTAAATATATAACCATGTCTACACATCTGTTTCTAAAGCGAAAAGGAGGCAGCCGTCTTCTATTGACATGAATAGTTATGGTCGCGGGTTATCTTAAACATTTTAACAGTTTTTCCGGTCAAAGAGCTGATGTGGGTTTCTATGCAAAGCTGCTTATTCATATCTTGTATTCGTTTTATCTTCTCCTCAAACAGACTTAGCATCTTCGTGATCCATGTAACCCTTACTGATTAACAGCATTACAGAGCCAACAACAAGTCCTACCACGAAAATTTTATGAAGATTTTTATGATCAATGATCTTTTCACTGAGCTCTCTAAAGTTTGTAGGTGTATACAGTTTGAGTCATGAGCTAATTTTTGTGGTTGTTTTAATTAACGATAGCCTAAAAGTTTTCAAGAATTTTGTTTTCTACATTCAGTTATTTCATAAATAAAGGCATTTCCCTGATCAGGAAGATGAAATGGACTTGAGAGATAGTTGCTCAAGGAGGCTTGTTGGGGGCAGGACAGCTGCTGAGAGAAGGTGCTGCTCCTGGAACGGGGGCAGTGGAGTCAGTGAACAGCCCTAGAGAACAGGAGTTGGTCCAGGGTGTAGAAAGTCATCCTGGAGGTGACTCATGGAGCCCACAGCCCTGGCTCCCACCTGCGTCACTTGGGGCCCTGTGTTGAGTGGGACCCTGTCTGGTGCTTCAGGACTTGGGCTGACCCTCCCTCCCCAGCTTGCCAACTCTCTCAAGCTTTTGGGGAAGTATACAGGGACAGATGTTACGTTCTTGTTCCAAACTCAAGAACTTAGAAAAGGTGTGGTTCTCATATTTAAAAGACAAAACACCCTATTATGCCATTTACCTTTTTGTTTTCTTATTTTCATGCAATTCTCATTCCTGTAGATAGTTCTCTTATCTGACACCAACTGTGGTATAACTCTAGCCACTCACGTTTTCCTGATCTTCATTTGCCAGATTAAAAATGATTAAAAATGAGTGAATTCAGCCCTTTTTATGGATTTCTGTTCTTTAATCTTGACCTAAAATACTGTTTACTAAAGTAATGTTTAGGGCATCCAGTTTTTCTTTGTGGCCCATGTCAGTAAGCCAGAACAATTATGAAAGTAAATGGAATCTGCAGCACTGCATAGTATCTATACTGGGCAGACAGTTCAGAGTGGCCCTTCTTACCAAAGTGCATATGCATTTATATATGTAAAATTATTCATTTATGTTTATTTTGTTTAGGAACACTGTGACAATCTCTGTGATGATGGGACTCATCCGGGCTTAATCTCAAGTCTTGCAAACTATTGCAAAGAACAAAAAGCGGGTAAGAAATTCACATTTATTTTGAAGCTTCATGTTATCCTTTTCTTGTGAAATATCTGACCTACTATGTGGTACTTTCAATGATCTGCTAAATGCCTTGATGCTTCTCACATTATACGGGAAGGAAGGACAGTTGACTGGAATCTCTTTGGAGAGACAATTACTCTGTCCATTTCATCTGCCCCTTTGTACTTAATGGTACTACTTGTAAAGAAAATTGATATTCCAATTTTCTATACTTCTAAGATACTCATGCAACATTTACTTTAAAACCTATTATCATATTTTAGAACTACTTCTTAACCTTTTCCATTTTGAATTTCTTTTTTCTACAAACTGTACTTTCTATTAAATGGATAAGAGCTGAATCTAATCATGTTAAAAGATTCTAGGATATGCATTTTTAGATAAGAAATATAGCCCAATTTTTTTTAATCTACCCATTTATTATCTACAGAAGGTCAAGAATATTGCAAAGTGCCAGCTTTTCTAAATATCAGGAAGAGGAAAAGAGTTACTTTTGGAGAGGATCTAAGCCCTGAGGTGTTTGATGAGTCTTTACCAGCAAATACTCCATTGCGTAAAGGAGGAACGCCTGTCCGCAAAAAGGATTTAAGTGGTGTCAGTCCCCTGCTACTTGAGCAATCACCAGTTCCTGCGCAGCTACAGTTATCACAACCGAATTTTGATGACAAGGGGGAGAATCTTGTAAGTATGAAAAATGTGAAACAAACTTGTTTTTATTTCCATCAGGCCTCACCTGTTTTGTGTGAATAATTATGCTTTGAAATCATGAAATGGACTAAATGATGTGTCATGATATAAATTAATGCAGTTTTCTAGGTAGGTTCCCTCCCCCCCAACCCTGTGCCTATCATGACAGGTGTACAGGGTATTAGCCGTGTTCTCATACTTGCATGACACCTTGTGCATGGCATATTTCATGACCCTAAATACCGTTGACCGTAGGATGTACCATCATTTTATCTATCACCAAAGAAAGGGCGAGAACTGAAGCTGTCACACACCGTGAATTGTAGGATGTACTCAGATTTCAGAGGTAGAAAGATATGAGAGAGCAACCACCTTAGAACTGATACACTGTAAATACAAACTTTTTTCCTCTAAGATGATTTTCTGTAGGTAGAATTACTGGATGAAAAATGGATTTTTTTTTTTTTTTACCTTTTGATATATATTGCTGAGCATCCAGAAAGTGCAGTATAAATGGTTTTATTTTACCACACTTTGTAAACCTGGATATTGACAGTACTTTTTAAAAATATCTTAATAAGAGAAAAAGATGACTTGAAAACTTTTAGTTTACTAATGAGGTTTGAACCTTTTTCCTAGGTTTATAAGCCTTTGAATTTCTTCTCTAGAGAATTGTCTATTAATCTTTACCCGTTTTTATATTGGGACCATCATTCATTCTCTCCCTTACCTGTTATATTTTGAAATAAAAATAATCCACGTTCAGCCAAGATGGAGTTGGAGGGACCTAATTGACATTTTTGTAAGAAACAACTAAAAAAAAATCCCCAGAAAACAAACAAAACAGTGGTTCTCAGACATTGAACATCAGGAAGCACAGGATAGTAATCCCCAAGAGAAGAGTAACAAATGAGGCAAGCTGCATAGGAGCCCCAGCTTACTGCCTGGGCTGGACTTCCCAGGCCACAGCACAGGAAGGTTTTACCTTGGTAGAGCCTAGCATTCTCCATGAATTGAGAAAATGGAGCTGGGGTCTGGGAAAGCAAAGGAGGCTAGAGCTCATGGCAAAGGACCAGAGAGGAGAGAGCTGCAGAGAGAGCTCTGGAGATCTGCAAAGGGTTCACTTGATCCTGTAGCTGAGTACTGGTCAATGTGTGATTGTGAATAAACTGCCTGATGTCAGGGAAAGGACTATCCACATGGAGCAGAGGAGACAATCCCTAGAGCTTACAGATGGGCAGGAAGTATTCCCACCAACATGAGTGGTTGGAAAAACCTTGTAATTCAGAGGGCATCAGATACTCGGGAGAGTATTGCCTCACTAGCAGAACATAATTAGACTAAAAGCCTAGCAGAGCTCAAAAGCAAACTTCAAAAGGACACAGCTTTCCTCCAAGCCACTTTACTGCATTGTATAACCTAACTCAAGAACAGAAAACTATTCACTGTCAAATAACATTAAATTCAAAATGTCTGACATTTCAATTAAAAACTAATAGATGTGTAAGTAAAGATGCCCCCAGTGGGTAGAAAAATCAGTCAATAAAAGTAGACCCAGAAATTACACATATGGTAGAATTTGTAGACAAAGGCATTGAAAAAGTTACTTTAACTATCTTTCATATGTTCAAGGTAGTGGAGCAAAGTTTGAACTTGTTAAGAACATGAAAGATGCAGAAAAGATCTAACTTGAACTCTGGACGTTATAGTCGCTGAAAATGATAAGCTTCAGGAAGAAAAATATGTTGAATGAGATTAATAACACATTAGAGACTGCAAAAGAAAAGATTTGCAAACTTAAAGATGCAGCAATAGAAACTATTCTCCTTGAAAGAGTAAAAGCTACTGAACAAAAATGAGCAGTTGATGAGCCTGGGACAACTTAAGGTGACATAATATGCATATTCTTAGAGTCCCCAAAGGAGAGGAGAGATCAGAACAGAAAGAATATTTGAAATGTAATGGCTGAAAGTTTTCCAATTTGATAAAATTTAAAGCTCACAAATCTTCAAGTTCAAATTCCCAGCATAAGAAATATGAAATAATATGCAAAGACACATCATTACTTAGAAACCATGATATATGGCCTGGTAGGACCTAGAACAAAAAGACCTGTGACCCTAAAGAACAACAAACATGAAAGGTAGCTGAACTCTCATTACAAACTGCAAGCCAAAGGACAATGCAGCAGCATTTACTTGGAGGAAAAAACCAAAACAGTAACAACAAAACATATCAACCTAGAATTCTATATCCAGTGAAACCATCTTTCAAAACAAAGGTGAAGGACAGGCTTTTTCAGACATCTGGAAGCTGAGAAGATTCATTGCCATAGTGGGTTAGCATTAGAAGAAACGTTTAGAGGAAATTCTTTAGTCAAAAGCAAAATGGCTCCTGATGGAAATCTAACAAAGAAATGAAGACCACTGAAGCTGCTAACCTACGTGGGCAAATGTAACTGACTTTTTTTTATTATTAAACTCTATAAAAGATTCTTTAAAGCAAGGATAATGATAGCATATTGTTTGGTTTATAACATGTCAGTAAGAAATAAAACAAAAGTAATATGGCATGAAGGCTGGGAGGTGTTCTTACGCTTAAGCGGTTTGAGTTAAACGTGTATGCTGTAAACGCTTAACCAAAATGGCTTAGAGGGAAATAATTAAAGCCTGTACTTCAGCATAAGAGACATCTCAAATTAATGATTCTAACTTCTACTTTAAGAAGCTAATAAAAGCAAATTAAAGCCAAAGTGCACAGAAGGAATTAAGATTAATGCAGAAATCAATGAAGTAAAAAACAAAATAGAGAAAAAAATCATTGAAGTAAAAAGATTATGCTTTGGAAAGATATGAGTACACTTCTAATTGGACTATTCAGAGAAAAAAATGAGAAATACTCAAATTACAATATAAGGAATAAAACGTAACTTGACCTCATTTCTAACAGGTTTTAGAAGGGTGATACAGATGAAAAGATAATATGGAAGTATAAAACTTAATGCCAATATATTCAACAACATAGGCAAACTAGACCCATTCCTTGAAAAACAACCAAATCTCACACTAGAAGAAATGACCTCATTAGCCCTATATCAACTGAAGAAATTTAAGTTGTAGTTAAAACCTTCCCACAAAGGAAAAACTGCATGTCCAGCTGATTTTGCTAATGAATTCTACCAAACAGTTAAGGAATTCTTAATTTTATGTACACCCTTTCAAGCAAATTGAGGAGGTGGAAGTAATGCCCAGTTCAATAATGTCAGCATTAACCTGGTACCATAATCAGACATTGTAAGAAAACTATCACCTCATGAACATAATACATAAAAAGGTACTATATCAACACCAACTGAGATTTAACCCAGAGATGGCAAGTTGGTTTAATATCTGAAAAACAGTCTATAATTCACCATATTTACAAACTAAGGAAACCATATGGTCATTTCTGATAAGAACTCTGAGCAAACTGGTGATTATAGAAAATTTCTTCAAACTGACAAGCTTTATTTATGAAAAATCAATAGCTACCATGATAATTATGTGGGAAAGAAAAGATTTGACATCTGCATTTGTATTGCCATTTTCCCTGAAGTCCCCCTGAGTAATACTGAAATGTTAGATTGTGTTTATTAATGGAATATCCTATTTACTTTAGAATTAGGACAAGTGATTTTTAAGTAAACCACAGAGTAACTTATTAGTGCATTATTATGACTGCTTCCATTTAATATTTTATTTGTTGGACTGTAGTTAGTAAACAGTTTCATTAAAGATTGGTAAATATTGTAAAATATTTTTATATTCAGTATGTTTGTTTTGCTCTGATTTTTTTTTCTTAATCTTTTATTTTTTTCTTAATCTTTTTTTGATTTCCCATCTGTATGCTTACCCCAGTTCCATCTACAAAAATGCCCAAAAGAAAAAAAAATTTTTTTCTTTTGGGCACATTACATGTCCACTGAATTTAAGGATGTCAAATTTCTACTCTTGTTTTTCTTTGTTTAGGAAAACATAGAACCTCTTCAGGTATCATTGGCAGTTCTGAGTCCTGTTAATAAGTCTTCAATCTCTGAGACTCTTTCAGGTAGTAACTTTTATTTATCTTAAAATAAAGACAAGTGTCATTTTCATTATGAAACTAAAACTTAACTTCCTTTTAAAAAAATTTGATTTTAATAGTGCATACTTGGTTTAAAAAACCATATAGTATAGAAAGCTTACAAGAAGTCTCTTGGGGCACCTGGGTGGCTCAGTCAGCTTTTATTTCAGCTCAGGTCATGATCTCAAGGTGGTTGAGATTGAACCCCATGCAGGGCCCTAGGATCAACAGGGAGTTGGAACCTGCTTGAAATCTCTCCCTCTCCTATCCCTTCCCTGCTTGTGTGCTTTCTCTCTAAAATTAATAAATAAATCTTAAAAAAAAAAAAAAAAAGGTAGTCTCTTGCCCATCCAGGCCTCATACCTTGTAATCACCCACCGTTAACTTCCGTAGATGGTGGGCCCTGTTTTTCAAGTCCCTGCAGGCAATGGAGTTCTCCTCTCAACTCCTGTCGGTAGTAAGCTCCTTGTAACAATTGACACAACTGAATGATGTGGATCACAAGGATCATTTTCCAGGGTCCAGAATTGTTTACCAACATTAAGTTGGCCTGTTGGGCACTTGCACTTTTCAAGTCCCTGGCTTCTTTATGAACGTGACAAGGCAAGACAGGACTTGGGTGACAAATGTCATGGGAACCGTTATTCATGTCTTTCCCCTGAAAGAAATCCTTTAGTGGCTTCTCATTGGCTGGAAGACACAAACCAGATTCACTGGTACAGAATCTAAGACCTGGAGTGTGAAGTTAGAGCTAAACCTGGAAGCATAGTCTGTTCCAAAGCCCATGCTCTTTTATACATTATACTGCTTTTCATATACGACATTAAAAGTGATCAAATGAAATAGTTACCTGAATTTTGTAAGTTAAAAAAATTATTTTCATGATCATCTTAATGCCCTTTATGTAATTTCACTGGATAAAATGTAGCTTGGAATAAATGGACATGAGTGAAAATGTGGCATTTATTATAATCTGATTTCATGTGTTATCTTAGGGTTAAATGGTATGCATTCTCCATGGAAAGTGGTAGAAGTTTCTGGGTATTCAGTAAACTCTAAATCTTAAAACATGTTTTGGATCTCAAAATTTATTTTTGGTAATTAGTTATTTATGTTTAGATATTATATTATGCTAAAAGCAAAGGTGCATATCCAAAACAATGTCCAGTATAACTGAAAAATGATGACTCTTACAACTTTTTGTTAGCTACCCTTATTTTGCTTATCTTCTTCATCAGGCACTGATCCCTTCAGCTCTGGAAAAAACCACGAGGAAATAGCCTCCCATAAAGTTGGTAGAATAACACGGGCCTCTAACAGAAGTAGTGTAAGTATTTGTATTTGGCACAATGTATTTGTTTGTAAATCTTGCTAAACATTTTTTTTGTTTTTGTAATCACATGATTATGGGTAAAATCTTGAGTTGATTAATATCATTGGGAGCTCATACCTTACCTACATAACATATAACTCATGGTAATGTTCTTTTTTCTGATTTCATTTTAATTCTGTTAGAAGAAAAATATAGTAATATTACAATACAGTAATACAGTGCTTTCAAAGTTTGTGTTAATGTGGAAGGTAATCTGTTTGGAACATTTGTTTGGGGTCTTGTGGTTTTATGAATTTTATTGAGGTTCACAGTGGAGAAGAGTAGTGTGTAATTAACAGACCCAGAAAATGACATAATTATAACTTTTCATAAAATATTTCATTTTTTTTCGTTTTTTTAACACTGGGTTTTAACTATTCTGTAGGAGCATAACTCCCACTGAATGCATGTCTTTTCCTATTTCATTAAATTAGATAAAATTGGAATTTTGTCTAAATTTATAAATATATAGTATACCATGATGGGCCTTTTAGCTGAAGTTGTTGGGTGATAAACCCAGAATTCACATTTAGATGAGCTAAGTACATGTTCCCACCCCACCATCCCCCATAACACCACAGCACTTAGCTGCTAAATTGTAGATGCTTAGTAAATATTTGATGAAGAAATTACTAATTTTACACTTTTTTTTCTTTTTTAAAATAATGGACAGAGTGCATATGCTTCTGGGTATACGTTTGATAAGATCAGAAATTGGTAATTACTCTTTTCTCCCATTCGGGTTTAAGATGGTTAAAATACTTGCAGTGGAACTTGTGAATTAAAAGGAAGTGGGATAGAAAATGTAGAAACAGTGTGGGAAGGAAAATAAATGTGAGAAACATCTTAAAATGTACTTGCTTGTGTTTTGTGATATCCCTCCTTTAAATTTTCTTTATAGCAATTGATCACTTTTGCAGAAGAGAATGTTTGTAACTTACTTAATACAGAAGTTCAGCCTTGTAAAGAAAAGAAAATTAATAGGAGGAAATCTCAGGAAAGGAAGTCCACAGGAAGAGTACTTCCTAAAAAGAATCAGGTAAGTGTGTGTTTAAAGATACAGTAAGAGAAGAATTAATTGGTACATATCTTTGTTGTATGATTAGGAATGCACGGAAACAAAATTTTTCTAGTTAACATCAGACCAAGAGTATTAAAATCATCATAGAATAGAAAGGGCCAGAGGCAATTTTGTGTGTGTGTGTATATTTTATAATATATGTAATCAGCTATAATTACCCGAGGACCATTTTTGTATTTTCTTCATTGTATTATGTACATTCAACACAGTAAAACTCAGCACTCAAGTGTTAAATTGATTCTTACCTTTGAATCTCATCTAATCTCACCCTATGAAAGGAATCCTCTAATTTCTTAGACAAAGATGAGTGTGCCATCTGCCCTTGTATGCTTTCACTTCTGCCAGGGCTGGATCTCTTCCTGTATTTAAGGGAGAATTTAGAAATTGGCTCTTCATCTTCCTCAACACTTTAAGGCCTCTGCTGGCTCGGGGACTTCACGATCTCTTTATGGATGGCTGATCTAGCACCTTAACTTAGTCACCGGACCTCGGCCACTTAAGTGATCCAGGCCTTCCTCTGCCTTTCCCCACAGCTTGTTGGTACCTAAGACCTTCCTGCTTTTAATAGTACACACTACTTTGTCCCATTTGCTGATCCCAGCGGCCTCTCCTGCCAGTGTTCTCACTCCCTTACATACCTCTTCTGGTATGAACGATCTTCTGGCTCCTCCGTGTACCCTCCGGCATTCAGATATCACGTTATTTCCTACGTTTCCTTGTTCAAACTGCCTGAGCTGTTTCACCAACTCTTGTCAGTAACGTCCATTCTCCATCCCTTTCTTTCCACTTCTCGTCTGGATTGGTACCCCACCGCCCTCCTGCCATCTAACGTTGGTCCTGGAGAGACTCACATCGGTGATCCTATGGCAGTCATAGCTGCAGATACTGTGTGAAGTCTGCTCTCACTTTCCACCTCTTCACTGGAATTATTTTCCTAAGGTGTTGAGAAACTTAGTGACAATCGAGCGCAGGCTTTGATTTGAGGTCTCATGCTTAGTTACTTGCCACCTCAGCAGCATTTGACATAACATCCCTTTACAGTCTCTGTTACAGGTTTATTTCCTTCCATCCACCCTTAGTTTGTATTACCTGGAGCTCCTCTTTGCTGTTCTAAGTTGTATATTTTCTGGGTGATGTCATTGGCAGCATGGTTGATGCGTCCCAAATCTGTCTTATCTATAAACATGATTAATGGCCTACTAGACTTCTCTTCTTAAACCATCCTACAAGCCCCTCAAATACCAACTTTTCAAAAACTAAGCTCATCAATTTTACCCCAACACCCCCCCAAAACAGTTAGTAAACTTCCATTGTGTTCCATGAAACAAAAACTGACTTAAACATGGCCCAAACATCTGCAGGTCAGCAAAGCCGAAAAAACTGGAAGTTTTCCTGGTTCAATCCCTCTTTTAGATCACACTCCTTTGAAAGATCCCCTTGTTGAAAAAAAAACCACATAAATTCAAAAATATGCATACATCTTTATTAGTACATTAGAAGTTGGTTTTCTTCAGACTAAAAAAAACTGCTACAAAGAATGTACATGTACTTTTTGACATAAAATCGATAGCCAGAGGGCGCCTGGGTGGCTCAGTGGGTTAAGCCGCTGCCTTCGGCTCAGGTCATGATTTCAGGGTCCTGGGATTGAGTCCCGCATCAGGCTTTCTGCTCAGCAGGGAGCCTGCTTCCCTCTCTCTCTCTGCCTGCCTCTCTGTCTACTTGTGATCTCTCTCTGTTAAATAAATAAATAAAATCTTTAAAAAAAAAAAAATTCGATAGCCAGAAAGTTCAAGGAGAATTGAGCATTAAGGTTTGTTCCAACCCCTCCCAGACACATTGGAATTAAAATAATTGATATAATAGAAAGACTAGACTCAGAATAGCAATGGGAAGAGGAAGGAAGGGAGGAAGGATGTTAAGCAACAGAGGACAGCCTTCAGTGAATCTCTGGAAGACAAAGCAGATGAGGGCACATTGACAGATGAAAGATGTAGATTTACAGCCCAGAATGTGCTTGGAGGAGTCAGAGAGGCATTGGGAACCAGCCAGCACATAGCACGATCCCAGGATACTCTGTGCCCAGTATTGGCAGTTCCAGTAGAAGGTGAGAATGGGAAGTGGTAATGGAAAACAGAAAGACTGAACTTTTGTATATGAGACAGTTTGCACCAGTTGGCACCCCACCCCCTGTCCCATCAGGTTCTCCCATCTCAGAACAGATGATGTCATGTATGTGAAAGCCTTCATTCTGGCATTTGGAAAGTCCCATAGTCTTGACAGCTTGCTCTTGCCCTCAAGCAATGCCTATGGTTGAGACTCCCCATTCTGCCCTGCCTGACCCTGCACAGAGCTGCCATTAGGATTTCCCTGCAGGAAACAGAGTTGCTGGAAAACAGAGGGAACTCTCAGACCAATTTATCCAGTTTTTTCTTATGTAAAATCAGACAACTCAGTAGAAACCAGAGATGAGAGATCTATATTTAAAAGTTGAAAAACTGGGGTGCCTGGGTGGCTCAGTGGGTTAAAGCCTCTGCCTTCAGCTCAGGTCATGATCCCGGGGTCCTGGGATCGAGCCCCGCATCCAGCTCTCTGCTCAGCAGGGAGCCTGCTTCCTCCTCTCTCTGCCTGCCTCTCTGCCTACTTGTGATCTCTCTCTGTGTGTCAAATAAATTAAAAAAAAAAAAAAAAAGTTGAAAAACTGACCCCATAAAGAAAGATTATTCTGGGAATGGAAGGAAACTTTATTTTAAAAGACCTGACATACTCGGATTTAAGAAAATATTATCTGCATAAAACTAAGAAGATGATGCTATAAAAAAGGAGCAAAGGGAGAAATATTCATAAATACATAAAATTTAGTCATTGGACTAGAGTATAAAGGAGTATCCCAGAAGGTAGAGCAAAAGAGAAACAGACTAGTAGTAAGAGATGTGAAAACTGAATCTAGGAGACTATGTAGGTATCTGAGAACAAGAAGATAGAATGAGAGAAATTGTCAAAAGAAGGGGTTTCCAATAGTGGAAGAAAAGAGTCTTCAGGTTATAAGGGTCTACTGAATGCCTAGTACAATTAAAAAAAAAAAAAAAGGCCAGGACTTCCTGTCATTATGAAATTGAACAATAAGGATAACAAGAAAAGTGGACTTTTCCTCCCGGGAAACAAGAATCTGAGAGTATCAAGTTTACCAGCGGTCTGAATGGTGAAAGGTAATTGAATAGGACCTTTAAAGTTTTGAACAAAACTTGATGTCAGCCCAATACTCTGTACCCAGTCAAATTCAGTTAGGTGTAAAAGAAAAAAATAAAGACATTTAGACACTTCAAGGACTCTGAAAGTTTTTCTTTGGGCATTACTAAAGGAGATACTCTAGCAAACTGACGAAGTAAGCTTAAGGATTCAGGACACAGTGGATCTAATAATACAGGAGAGCGATGCAAGGGAAATCTCCAAACGTGGTTGTTCAGCCAGCCCAGAAGAGCAACCAGTCCCAATTTGAGCAGGAGGAGAGAGTGCTCCAGGGAGAAGGTCTCTGGAGAGAAAAACGAAAAGACCTATGATTGAGAAAGTGGAAGGCATGTCATATAAGAAGAAAAAGAAAGGTAATTATATGCTTATACCATTTCAAATAAAAGTCCGTGTATAAAAGTTCTGGAGTAAACATGAAGCAATAGTTAGTGAGATTTCAAGCAATAAAGGAGTGTAATGAAAAGTATGTTTTCTAGTGCCAAGAGTCATCTACAGGGGGCGCCAGAGGAAAGGAAGCCAAGATTTGTCCTTGGCAGTCCTAAGGTAAATGCTGTTTTCAACTAAGGGCAAAGCTTTTTAAGAACCTGATTGTTGTGCAAGACGATCTGTATTAGCTGAATTGGAAGGTGAGAAGTGGGTAGAGAAGATGTCAGTGAGGGTGTTAGCATTCAGTGTAAGGGGTACTGTGCACGTTCCGAAGCCAGACAGCCTGGGTTCTAAATTCTGGCTTGACCACCTCCTACCAGTGGAATGGCAGGCAAGATTCTTGATTTCTGTATTGGTTTTTAAAATAAAGGTAATGTACTTAATGTATAACTTGTTGCGTGCATTAAATGAGTTAGTACTTGTGAAATGTTTAGAATGATGCCTGGCCATAGCAAGTACTAAAACTGTCTTACGGATTAGGGGTTCAAGATCTCTTTTAAAAGTTGATGAAACAAATTTACCTTTTGACCCAGCAATCTCATGTCTGGGAATCTGTCTCAGATCCAATGACAAAAGTGCGAAAAGGCATATGAACAAAGTTATTTTTTGTAGTACCCTTTGTAATGCAAAAACCAAAAAACCAAAATGTCCGTCAGTATGAGACTGGTTGGATTAACTAGGTGTACTGACAAAGTATTTTGCAGCTATAAAGTAGAGTGAAGAGAATATCCAATGGTGGAATGATGCCAGAATGTATTTACTGTTAAGTGAAAAAAAAAGTAGGTGTAAAATAACATATATAGTAGGCTTCTTGGTATTGAATTGTGATCCCTCCCCCACCCTGTCACCAAAATACTTCTCTGTTGAAACCCTAACCTCCAGTACCTCAGAATGTGACTCGATTTAGAGATAGGTTCTTTGATGAGGTGACTGATTTAACATGAGGCCATTGGGATGGTCTCTAATTCAGTCTTAATTGTGTCCTTTTAAGAGGAAGTTTGGACACAAAAGGAGACCCTAAGTGAGCACACACCCAGGGAGAAGACCACATAAAGAGGCAGCAGGAAGGCAGCCATCTAAACACCAAAGAGGGAGGCCTCAGAGGAGACCAACCCCACCAGTGCCTTGGTCTTGGACTTCCAGCCCCCCAAACTGTGAGACAAGAGATTAAGACTGTGTAAGCCACCTAGTCTGTGGTGTTTTGTTATAACAGCCAATATGACAAACGAATATAATACGTTTTACCTAAGAAAATAGGATACATTAAACTTGTGTGAATATGTGTA